AAACAAAAAAATTTCTAACAAACAAAAACTAAAAGGAATTAAATATAAAAAAATCAAATTAAATTAATTTAAATTAAGAAATTAAGAAGAATTAAGAAGAGAAATTAAGAAAACATTTGAAGAAAACAATTAAGAATTAAGTAAATAAATTTTTAACAAATAACAACTAGAAGAAAAATTTATTACTTAAACGAAATCAAATTAAATTAATTAAGAAATTTAAAAAAATAATTAAGAATTAAGAAAATAAACATTTTACAAATAAAATCTGGAAGAAAAATTATTTAAACCAAAGAAATTAAAAAATAAATACAAAATAATTTTGGAAAAACAAATTTCCAAGTAAACAAAAACTAAAAGAATTGTTTTCAACAACAGTAAAGAAGCAAACGAAAACTAACTCACGAAAAATTAAATTCCCCTCTAATTATAACAAATAAAAAAATAAATATCAAAATAATTTTACAAATGTGAAAAATTAAAAAACTGAATGTAGAAAATAGAAATAGGAAAAAAAACGAAAAAATAAAAGAGAAGAACAAATACATATACAAGAATAAGAGAAAAGATGATGATGAAGAAATCAAAAGGGAAGCGAAGAAAACTTTATTCATTTGTAAGTACAGTAGCAAAGTACAAAGGTATGAGATGGAAGAAACGAAACACCATACTCTAGTGCGGTTATTGAATCCAGAAAACCACATTAAAATCCGCGCACAACGGATGCAGAATAGTCTGTCATTAAATGGAACCGGTTTTTCGGACCTCCCTGCAGGCGTTGAAATTCATTCAATATCTATATATCTATATCTTGAATTAGTTTCAATGATAATAGTCAAGAAAAGATAAATGAGGGAGGTGAGAAATAAGAATTTTTTTTTATTTTATATAAAAGAACCCATTAATTTGCCTATTTATAAAACAAATGGGGAATTTACACGATCAAATTGATCCCCGCAATCGATCAATTACTAATAAGCCGAGAAATTTTTTATAAAGTAATGAAAAAAAATTGCTGTTGAATAATAAATAATAAAAAAAAAGTTTGTTAAATAATAAATAATAAAAAAAAATGTTTGTTAAATAATAAATAATAAAAAAAATGTTTGTTAAATAATAAAAAATAAAAAAAAATTAATGTTTGTTAAATAATAAATAATAGAAAAAATGTTTGTTAAATAATAAATAATAAAAAAAAATTATTGAAAATAAGTTTTTAATAATTAGTTACAAATAAAAAAATACAAATGATAAAAATATAAAAAAATGCAAAAGATAAAAATAGAAAAAAATAGAAAAGATAAAAATAAAAAAAAAATGCAATAAAATAAAGTATAAAAAATACGAACAAACAAAATATTAAAAAAATACAAAAGATAAAAATATAAGAAAAGATACAAAAACATTAAAATATAAAAGGGATACAAAAACAATAAAATATAAAAATGATAAAAAAGTACAAACAAAAAAATACAAAAACAATAAAATATGAAAAAGATACAAAAAAATTGAATATAAAAAAATGCAAGTAAAAAATATGTAAAAAATTTACAAAAAAATTGAATATAAAAAAATGCAAGCAAAAAATATGTAAAAAAATATACAAAAACAACAAAATAGGAAAAAGATGCAAAAAAATTAAATATAAAAGAATACAAAAAAATAAATAATAAAAAATACAAAGAAACAAAATATAAGAATAGATACAAAAACAATAAAATATAAAAAAGATGCAAAAAATTAAATATAAAAAAATACAAAAGATAAAAGTATAAAAAAATACAATAAAATGAAGTATAAAAAAATACAAAAGATAAAAATATAAAAACTTCCGTAAAATAAAGTATTAAAAAATATTTAAAAAATACAAAAACAATAAAATATGAAAAAGACAGGTACAAAAAAATTGAATATAAAAAAATGCAAACAAAAAAAATGTAAAAAAGGTACAGAATCTAAAGGCTGATATTATCAAATATATTGTAAACGGAATTCTTCTGCTACAAAATGTAATATTTTATAAAGCAGAATAAATATATTATTATTATTATTATTATTATTATTATTATTATTATTATTATTAAGAAAAGATAAAAAAACAATAAAAATACAAAAACAATAATACAAAAAAAAGACGCAAAAAATTAAATATAAAAGGTACAAAAACAATAAAAAAGGAAAAAGATGCAAAAAATTAAATATAAAAGAGTACAAAAAAATTAATTTTAAAAAAATACAAAGAAACAAAATATAAGAAAAGATACAAAAACAATAAAATATGAAGAAGATGCAAAAAAATTATATATATACAAAAATACAGTTAAAAAATAATACAAAAAAATAAAATATAAGAAAAGATACAAAAACAATAAAGTATAAAGAAAAATACAAAAAAAATTACTTTAAATCAATTTAAGTATTAGTAATTTGAATTGAAAAACAAAATAAATTTTTTTTAATTTCAAAAATATACGATTATAAAAATGTTTCAACGTTATACTTTGTTGAAAATGAAATGAATTGCGAATGAAAAAATTTTTAAAATACTATTTGACTCGTTGATGAAATGAAAAGAAAATAATCTCAAGGCGTCGAATATCGGCGTTTATAAATGAAGGCGCCAAGAATTTTTGGAACAAAACTTTGCCCCTACAATGGTGCATTGATGATTTGTAGCCATACACGCGTGCAACAGAATTTTTAATGACGGATTTACTATATCGCACACGCGATCCACGTTCTCTCGAAACAGTGGAGACTGCAAAATTTTTGGGAAATTGCTTAAAATAAACCGACAGTGTGGCTGACCCCTTATGTCTGAGCGTATATACACTAATTTCAAAACTTTATATTTGCGAAAAAAGAACACACCTAACAAGAAAAAATTTTTACTCAAAAGAAAAATTAAAATAGTAAATAAAAAAAGTAAATAAAAAAAAGTAAATAAAAATAATTAAGAAAGAAATAAAAATTAAAAGAATAAAATACCTACAAATAAAAAAAAAATAAAAGAATAAATTGAAATAAAAAAAATATAAAAGAATAAATCGAAATAAAAAAATAGAAATAAAAAAATAAATGCAAAAATAGAAATAGATAAATAAAAATAAATAAAATACAAAAAAATACAAAAGAAGAAAAATAAGAAATAAAAATAATATAGGTATAAAATACTATAAAAATTACTAAAAATAGAATATAAAATACGATAAAAACAAAAAAGTAGAACTAAAAAAATATAATAATCAAAAACAGAATTTTTATTCAAAATATAATAGAATAAAATATTTGAATGATTACAATATCCACATTTATTTACACAATACAACTTGCTTAACCCATTTTTTAATTATTTACGATATTATTCCCTGAATTTTTTTTCGTCATCATTATTTGTCATTATTTTTTGTCCTAATTGTAAATGTAAAACGTGATTATCAACTTCTCATGATCGTGATATTAAAAATATTTTATTATATAATTCCCTCCAAAGTGGAGGTAAGCGAATGAGTTTTCTCTTAATTTTTGCAGACGATGTACTTTAATAATTATATGACCGTCAAGAAAGAACCGGTAATTGACCAGCAACATGTGTCCAGATTTTTTCTTTAATTTCATACATTTATATATATATATACACCAAGACAACAATTTTCCCATCAGATTTATATCATTAAAAAATAATTTTTATCCTTGAAATATATATATAAGCATACAAAGTAAAAAATAAAAAAAAAGGGAAAAAAATTTCTATTAAAGTTATACTAATGTTAATTTACTTTAATTTAAATTTAAAAATTTTCCCTAATTCATTTTTTTTATTAAAATATTTCAGGAATTTTAATCGCATGCCGCAAGAAATTCGTGGGCGGAAAAGGGTAAACAGTCGTTAAATTTTATTCTCGAATAATTCCCCATAAAAAAAATTTTTAAATTGTGATATAAAAATTATAATAAAAATTATAATAAACTTATAATAAAAATTATAATATTTATATAAAAGAAAAAGGGAAATTAAAAATTTCCTAATTCCTCATTTTTCGTTCTAATCCCAAAAATCAGGAGTAGTCAAAAATTATTCTCAAATATTTTAAATTATTTTTTAATATTTTTAATTAATTTAAATTAATTTCAAAATATTTTTAAATAAAGGTAATTTAAATAAATAATTTAATTTTCAAGTAGGTTTCAGTTAACACGTTTATGGTCGACGATTGAAGCCAAAAAAAAAAAATTTTTCACACCCGAAACAATAAAATCTTCTGTTTATAAATTTTTTTTCTTTTTAAGAGCATCCAGAACCATTGATTATATTTATTAAAAATTAACTATTAACTCTAATAATAAAAAATAATAAGGAAATAGTAATAAAATAATAATAAATTATAAAATTAAAATGTATTAATAGTATAATAATAATTTAAACCATTTTAAAAAAATAAACTTACAATGAACCTCGAGTCTCGATTTTCACTCGAACGATGTCATTTTTGGAGCACCAAAAAAATCACTCGCGATTTAAAAATTTTTTTCGAACACTCCCGAACCACGTGTTAACAAACTGGACAGGGAATCGAAAAAAAAACTGGAAAAACTTTTTTTTTAATTACATGCGAACGCGGTTTTAAATTTAGCGAACACTCCCGATATTTATAATGATCCACAAGTTTTTGAACGAATCAAATGAAAAAAATAGATTTAGTTCCCCATTTTTGCATTAATAATTTCATTAATAAATTTCAAGTTTAATTTTATTTTCCATTCTGAAAAAAACATTTTTGATGAAAAATATTTTCGTAAATTACCGTTTGGTAGAAAAAATTTAAAAAATTCCCTTTAACATTCAGAAACTTTTAATTAATATTTTTTTACTGTATCGCAAAATTATTGTAATAAAAATTGAATTTTTTTAAAATTTTAATTAATTTCGCGTCCATTTGAACTCGGAACTTTAGGATCATTTACTTAAAAATAAATTAAAATTCGAACACTTCCGAAATTAAGAAAAAAAAATTAATATCAAATTAACAATTAACGAATTATATTAATTATTAATAATAATTATTAAAATGAAATTAAATTGTGAGGATGAATTTAGAAACACGTGATCGAACGAGACGCGCGTCGACATTTTCTCCAAAATTTCCACGCATGTCATCTGGCAACTGACTCCCGTCACGTGAGAGTGAGAATTGAAAATCAGGAAAGCAGGAATATGCCGCATCCTTATATTTCTCTGAAAACAAAAATAAATTCCAATGTAGAATATTGTTACTTTATTTATAATTTTTTATAAATAATTTAATTTTCTAATATTTCATTCTTTTAAAATAATTGTATAGTAAATTTTTGTATAGTATAAATTAAATTATATTTTTTAGAAGTTTTTAAAAGTTAGTATCAATTTTGAGAACACGTGGTCGAGAATTTTGAATTTTGCACCAATCACGTTGCGCGTTGCTTTGGCGCAGAAACTTGTACAAACCAAAGTGGGAGGGGGGATGTAATTTAAATATTGAAAACACGTGATTGAGAATTTAAATTTTGTATACCAATTATATTGCGCGTCACTTCGGGATGGAAACTTGTAAAGCCAGAGTGGGTATGTAATTTAATTTTTATTTTTATATTGCATTATAATATTATTTTTTCTACGCATAATATTATATTTTATTATGTTGTATTATGTTTTATTATTTTATATTTTACTATATTTTATTACATTTATTATAATATGCTATATTTAAAATATTTTATTTTATTACATTTTAAATATTTTTTTATTTCACAAATATAAATATGTAAAAATAATGGGTTAAAATATTTTTAATTATTTTTTTTTCCTATGTGTTTCTAAAATCTAAAAAAAATTGCAATTATCAATTGACGACATAAATATAACGTTGTAAAAATACAAATAAAATACTGACTTCTTTTTATTTACTATTAACTCAATGCAAGAAATATTTAAATAAATAAATTTAATATTTATGTATTTCATTTACTTGAGCGCATTTGAATCATTTTGACGTCACAATTTCTGCAAAGCATGTGTTCTAAAATTGTGACGTTATAATGGTTCAAATACCGTTAACCAAAAAAAAAAAAAAACTTAATTATTTTTTTTCGATTTTCCGACTAAAGAACTTGCAAAATTTTTGACTAATTTGTTGATTTTCTTTGAATTAATTATAAATTTTATAATTTAATTTTAAATCAAGTAGTTAAATTTTTAATTTTTCAACTATACCTAATAATTTAAAGAATTTTTAAATTTCTTTTTCTATTTTTTATTTATTAGACATTTTTTCTCGCATTTTAAAATTTTTTTTTTCAATTTTTTATATATTAGACATTTTTTCTCGCAATTTTTTAATTTCTTCACAAATTAAATTTTTCCATATTAAATAAGAATAACAAAAATATAATAAAATTATAAGAAAATTTATTATTTAAATAGAAAAACTGTATTAAAAAAAGGTAAATCGACGCAACTTCAAATTTTTCATAATTTTCATTTAATTCACAAATTTTCAAATCAATATTCTAATCTCTTATTTTATCTTAATATAATCAGTATATTTGTTTGCATTTGAAGGACAATAATTTGAGTATGCGTCAAAGGAATAACAAAAGGTTTGACCTTTTTGATATTTCAATTGCAATTTTCAAAATGAAAATATAACTGCGTTGTATTACAGTAAGATTACAAATAAAAAATTGAATAGAAAAATTAAAATGAAAAAACGAAATTAAATTTAAAATTAAAGTTGCATGGGAAAAGGGAAAATTAAGTTAAAAAATAAGTTAAAACAGTAAAGTAATAAATAAATTATAAATAAAAAATTGTAATTAGGTAAAAAAAATATTGAATTCAAAAATAATTAAAAATCGAAATTACGTAAAAAAAAATTTGCAATGAAAATTAAAGTGAACATTAAAAAATTTTTAATTTAAAAGAAATTAATAATAATTAATAATTAATAAATACATATTTTTTCAAAATTTATTAATTTTTGTGCATTTATTAATTTATTTACTTATTATTTACTAATTTACTTATTTATTCATTTCTTTATTTATTTACATATTATTTGATTATTCATTTACTTGTTTATTTACTTAAACACTCATTTTATTATTTGCTTATTTAATTACCTATTTATTTACGATTTATTTATTCATTTACCATTTATTTATTCATTTATTTTTTTGTTTATATTTACTTACTTTTTTATTTATTAATATATTTATTTATTCACTTATTATTTACATATTTATTTACATGCTTACTTGTTTATTTAATTACTCGATTATTTGATTCTTCATTCATTTACTTTTTTTTTTACTTTTAATTAAGATAAATTTACCATAAGCATAACCTATAATTCGATTACTTTTCAGGTACGTTTTTTGAGAGCGCGTCCCATTTACTTCTTTATTTATTTACCTGTTTATTTACTTATTTAATCACTTATTATTTATTCAGTTACATATTATTTACTTATTCATTCATTTACTTATTTGTTTACGTATTGGTTCATTAATTTATTTATTCACTTATTTGCTAGTTTGTATACTTGCTTATTTGTTTATTTAAATTGTGTATTTATTTATTGATTTATTTATTTATTCATTTACGTATTTGTTCATTGAATTATTTATTCACTTACTGTTTACTTATTTATTTATTAATTTGCTTATAAATAATAATAATAATAATAATAATAATAATAATAATAATAATAATAATAATAAATAATAATAATTTTGTATTTTTCTATTTTTTTTTTTTTTTATTTATTTATTTATTTTGAAAAAACTGAGTCAAGAAAAATTCTCGTTTTCTCTAAATTAAAAATACTGAAAAAATTACAAATACTGATAAAAAAAATTTTTTGTTTAATGGAGTTATTTGAAATAATTTCAAATATATGTATATATAAATTTTTTTTTTTTTTTTTTTTTTTGATAAAAAAAATCTTGCTTATATTTGGGGAGAGAGAAAGGGGGACTATCGCGTATCACTTAGTAGCAGGTTCTTGTCGTATCAGTTTATTAACTTTCTACATTGAGTGTACAGTAAACGGGCAAATTGCGGTTATAATGCTGCACAAACCTGTACAGTCAAGTTAAAAAGACTTTAGAATTATTTCAAAGAAGGCTTCTACGGAATCCAGTTCGTCGTTCACTATTCGTGCCGCTGCACGAGGTTAGTTTAACGTGTTGTGCGATTTAATAACACGAAACATGTGCTTTAACGTTAATTTTCTCAATTTTCGGCAATATTAAAAAACTTGTGAATTTTTTGATATTTCGTGTGAATTTTTTCTTTATTACTTCTTTTTTTCATTTGTGGTGAACATTTTTTAAAATAAGAATCAACTTTGAAAAACAAGTACAAAACTTATTTGGAACAATTCACGAATATATTTATATATATTTTTCAAGAGGAGAAAATATTGGTGAGAAATTATTAATTTTTTTTTCCTTTTTACAATAGAAGAAGAAAAGGAAAATAGAAATTTTTTTTTTATAAATTTATTTTCTTCTTTTTTTTTGAAAAGTTGTTGTTTACATATGGATGCGAATGATCGTTACCTTGATAATGCTTTTACATAAAGTGAAGTGTCAGTGCTTTTACGAAACTGTATACATGTTAAATTTAAACTAAAGCATGAAAAAAAGATACACTGTCTGGAAAAGTGTTTTTTTTTTTTTTTATTGAACGAAAGGAATTGTTTTGCTTTTTTTATAATTATAGACACACTTGAAATTCTTTTCGTATTAATTTCAAATGAATTTTTTATGCGGACGGATTAAAGATTAAATTAAATTAAAGAAACCATTTATTATTAAATAAAATTTTTAAAAAACATTTTTTTATATTAAAAAATATTTAAAATTTTTTTTATATTCAAAAAAGAAAATTATTAGAAAAATAAATTTCTATTCGACGTTAGACAAATCTAAAAATTGAATTTTCGAAATAACATTGGAAATACGTAAATATTCGAAGCTTTTATTTTGAATAAAGTTTTATTTGAATTTTTATTTTCGAATGGAGTGACAATTTTTCATTTTGATCATCTGCGAGCAGCATCTTCACATTTTGAATAATAAAATTATGATTAATTGTGTGTGTAGTATTTTTTTTTTCTTTTTAGTGTTTCAATAATTAAAAAAGTAAACACGCCGTCAGAAATTGAAACATTTTAGTCGAGTGACTATCATTTATCACAAAGATATAAGACAAGTAATAAATAACGTTTTAAAACCAGGAGCTCAATCGTCTGTTTGGAATTTGTAGCAAACTTGTAATCGTCTGTAAAAGTTAATCATTCCACTATTAGTTTTACAACAACTTTCTCCACACACGCATACATAGAACTTTTTTTTGTGCTCCATATTTTATTTACCATCTGTCAATAACAAAAATATTTTTGTTTTAAAAGAAAATTTATTTTTATTTAAAAAAAGGAAAATTTAATTTTGTTTAAAAAAAGGAAAATTTAATTTTGTTTAAAAATAATGTAAATTTACTTTTATTTGATAAAGATGAAAATTTATAAAATCATTATTTTAAAAAACATATGAATTCTCATTACATTTTTAATTGTTTTTATTTTTATTTATTAATTATTAATTATTAATTTATTGTTTTATTATCTCATTATTTTATTTGTTTCTTTTATTGTTTAATTCTTTAATTTTTTAATTGAAAGCTATTTTGTTTCATTTAATTTATTGTCTTATCAAATTGTTTTATTACAAATTTGTTTTACTGATTTTATATAGTTTTATTCAATTTCCCATTTTATTATATTTATTGTTAATTTATTATTAGAATTTATCAGAAAAAAATTCTTCTCATTTGTACAGATTGAAAAAAAAAATATTCCCTTAATTTTTAATTTACATTTCTAATTTTTTACCTAATTACGAAACAGAAAAAAATATTACAAAACTGTAAAATAGTTATTAGAATATGTGTAAGGAATCTTTTTTTTAAGTGATTAATAATAGTCGATTATCAGCTCTTATTTTAAAATTCAATTATCTAATGAATAGTGATATGATAATTGGATTTCTATTTCTGAAACGAAATACAAAGAATAAAAGTCGTACTTTGTTACAATTTCGGATTCAATTTTATCGTCGAGATAAAGATAAGTACTTATAATAATCAAGCTCATTAAGAAATGAGGAATTATTAAATGACATATTTTATTTTAT